CGACACTCTGAGGAGCGATGAACCCCTTGACTACTGGGTATGCAGGCTTGACCTGTGGCCTGAGCTATCCCAATTTGCGATAGAACTTCTGGCATGCCCCGCTTCAAGTGTCCTGTCAGAAAGGACCTTCAGTGCAGCAGGAGGTATTGTCACTGAGAAGAGAAGTCGCCTAGGTAAAAAAAGTCTAGATTACCTCACCTTTATTAAGATGAATGAGGGATGGATCCCGAAGGGACTGACACTGGGCGATACATTAGATTAAAAAGGCCTGATGAGATGAGCTGCCTTGGGCTAAAAATGGTCCACACGCTGCTGTATTTTAGCTCTGAATGCCGGTTGACTTGCGTGACTTATCTGCCACCAACTAGGGTTCAAGCCGCCATGTTTTAGGGCACTTTCTGCCTGTGAAACAAACATCAATTATAGATTGAATAGCAGTTAGTTATCTTCAAGCAGGTGTGTCAGCCCTACAGCGTGTACTCTGCCAGTTTACAGTGCCATTCATATCTGGTGTCATAATAGCTTGGATTTAAAAAAAAAACACTTTTTTCACTGTTATAGATTGAATAGCAGTTAGTTGTCTGCCAGCAGGTGTGTCAGGCTCACAGTGGATACTGTGCCCAGTGCCACCACTCACTCACTGGTACCCGGACGAAATTTATTTTCACAAAAGGCAATCCCCAACCTGTACTCGATTGTGCAAAAGGAAATAATGGCATGTCTGGCACACAGTGTTGGGGCAAGGGTCCATCTGACCACTGATACCGGTCTGTAAAGCATGGTCAGGGCAGGTATATCACCTACACTGCGCATTGGGCAAACCTGCTGACGGCTGCCAAGCATGGAATGCGTGGCTCTGCAGAGGAGTTGGTGACACCGCCACGACTTGCAGGCAGGCCTGCTGCCACCTCCTCTACTCCTCCTACTCCATCCTCTTCCATAACCTCCTCGGCTGAGTCCTCTTCTGCTGCTGCGTCTTGCTCCACATCAACGGATAGGGGACGTAACAGTGATTAAACTGATAAAAATAGTACTAAACACACCACTCCTATCTGGTGTCACATTAGCTTGACCGCGCAGTGCCCCAAATTTGCAGTAAGAGGACCGACCAAGCCTCTTCTTCCATCTCCCTGTTACAAAAATCAATGCCGTGTACACGTCCACTGATAGGAGACGCGGAAGGTATTAAACTGAACAGTCTCTATTCTGCTCTTGCATTTCTATTTCTTCATAGAAAACGAAAAAATTCTGAGAAGACGTTGGCAGGGCTATTCACTTGTGTGATCTGTCATGAATTGTCATTTGAATGTTATTTTGAACTGTGGGCACAAGAACTTGAATCTGACAAAATGGCTGCCATATACACGTCCACTGATAGGAGACGCGGAAGGTATTAAACTGATCAGAACAATACTAAACACACCACTCCTTTTTTTTGGTGAGGCTTTACAGGACAGAGTGCTTCTCCACGGGACATGTTAACTCACGGGCAGCTGGCTCATCAAGGAACCAGAGCAGCTTTCCATGTACAGGTAAGACACGTGCAGCCGGTAAGGGTTCAGGCTCTTCTTCCTGGAGGATACGCTGCAAGCCTGTTGAACGAGGTGACCTTGCTCGGGTCCCAGGTGTACGGTTCCTAAAATGGCTGCCATATACACGTCCACTGATAGGAGACGCGGAAGGTATTAAACTGATCAGAACAATACTAAACACACCACAAATAAGGTTTCTCTCCTGTATGGCTCCTCAAATGATGCTTAAGATTAGAAGCGGCTGAAAAGCATTTCTCACACTCCGAACAAAAATATATTTTTTTAACATTCTCTCCACTTTGAACGAAATGACGTTTGGGAAGAGATTAACATAATTAAACACAGGCAGTAAAAATACAGTTTTTAGCCATACCCTGTAACTTTAAAACTACACATCCCATCTTCATAATTACATATTTGGAATCAGCACACTTAAAACATAAACATAACCAAAAATCAGCCAAATCCATCCAGGGGTTAAAAAGTTAGCTGGAGGTCCCTTTATGACCGACCGCAAGCACATTTTCCTGCCCAAAACAGTTCCATAGATTTGGGCTGTGAGGTCGGTCTATTTCAGGCTGAAAAACGACTAAGTCCCATCGCCGAATGGGACTTAGTCTCTACCTGCAACAAAACCAGTAGGGGAGAAGGTAGAGCTCAGCGGTAGTTCGCGGAAATGTGTAGCCGATTTTAGTTCATGAATTTGGCTACACATACCGCTGACCTCGTCGAATGATCAAAGATGGCCGCCGCCACGTGTTCGGCAAACGAACAAAGACCTTCCAGCATTGTCAATTAAGCTGCGGTTAACCGCAGCTTCTGGGAGGTAAATTGCCTGCACACTTCTACTTCTGGGTGGTCTGCCTGTGTGGTACTTGGTTCAGTAAGCCCCATTTACTGAACCAAGTGGGAAATAACCAGGCAGGCACAAAGGGTTTGCACCAGGTCTGGGGACACAGGGGACACCGTCTTAAAGGGGCAGTGTCCCCAACAAGTCTGGGGACACGGCCTTAAAGGGGCAGTGTCCCAATCTTTCTGATGTCCCAAAAAAGGTGTTTAAAGGGCCAGCACCAGTCACATAAAGAGTCCATAAGCCCCAATATGCCCACTGACAGTCTTAAAGGCCATACACACCAAATAAAAGTGCATACATTTTCACAATCTCCCAGGGGTCATAGTCATGCGAGAGGAGGCTGGCAAATAGGCTTCTCCACAACCCAGGGAGGCAGGGCAATTTGCCATTTAAAGGGCCCGTTACAAATAGCAGTTTGTAACAAGGTGTCAATCCATATCTGCCAAGTGACCCGATGTAGGGGGAACAGTCCCTATTCTGCTCTGTGTCAGTGTGTATCAGGGATCCTGAGGACAGGTGTCAATCCATATCTGCCAAGTGACCCTATGTAGGGGGACCAGTCTCTATTCTGCTCTGTGTCCGTGTGCATCAGGGGCTCTGAGGACAGGTGTCAATCCATATGTCAAGGTGTCAATATGTCATATGTCAGGTGTCAATCCATATTCATTGTGATTTAGGAATGTTAGGTGATTTCTGCCCTTTATGGATTAAAACCAGACTCTGTATCAACTGTGTAATTTTCCATGGGAGTTTTGCCATGGATCCCCCTCCGGCATGCCACAGTCCAGGTGTTAGTCCCCTTGAAACAACTTTTCCATCACTATTGTGGCCAGAAAGAGTCCCTGTGTGTTTTAAAATTCGCCTGCCCATTGAAGTCTATGGCGGTTCGCCCGGTTCGCCAACATTTGCGGAAGTTCGCGTTCGCCATTCGCGAACCGAAAATTTCGGGTTTGCGACATCACTACTGACAACAGACTTACATACACTGCAGTGTAATTGCTATGTGGGACTATATGGAGATTAACAGACCATGTTGGGCTTAACAGCCTTATACAATGTGCCTTTCTGATTACATTAGTTGCCATATGTAGGTGTCCTTTAGTTCCCATGGCACACCACCTGGGGTGAGCCCCCAGATATCCTTACAGGTGGTGAGCCTCTGGGATGGATCAAATTGTGCTTATTAGAAAATCTTTGCCTAAAAGGCAGACTTTGAGAAGCAGCTGTCAGGCTCTATTCGTATATACTAGGTGGGGATCATACCACCAGTGCTGATATCAAAGTGCAGTTGGCCTGCACTTTACTTGTGAGTACCTTTTTATTCTGTTTATTGCATATCTTAACTTACTGAGAGCACTATTAGTTGTTTTTATATATTCTTCTCCTGAGTGTTGGACACCATCCCTCTGGAGGACTCCCACCAACAGGGCCGTCTTTAACACGGGACAAAAGGGGCAGTCATAGGGGGCCCAAAGCAGCTGCCCCTTTTGCTGGCTGCTAGATCCGGATTGCGAAGCAGAGGACATTTCCCTGCAAATTTGGCCGGATGAGGGAGCCTATGCATTCCCACCATTCTCAAGCCTGACGCTTGTGGTCCTCTACATACATCTTCACGGAGTGCCTCTCCTCCTAATTATTCAACAAGAAAAAAAAGAATGGAGTCTTGCGCAACTTGAATTTAAAGTGCATCCCCTGGTGCTACACCTTTAATTCAGAAGGACATAGTACAACAAACTTTCGGACAATAGCCCTTTATCAATGCTAATGTCCTTCTGGGCTATTGCCCAAAATGTTTCCAGAAGGACATAAGCATTGATAAAGGGCTATTGCCTGAAACGTTTGTTGTACTTTGTCCTTCGGAATTAAAGGTGTAGCACCGGGGGTGCACTTTAAATTCAACTTGAGCAAGAATCTGTTCTTTTTTCTTGTTGGCTACTATACACTGTTGGAACAACAGTGTGGGGAGATTGCTGCACTGTGGAAAGCTTTTTCTTTATGGAAATTTGTGTAGGCAGATACCTTGCCTCTACCTTATTATATTTATAGTGACTCCTAATTACTCCCCTCGGGCAGAATCAAGCGTGGTTCTCTGACTTTCTGTAACTGTCTCATATGGAATTCAAGTTGTCTAGGCCTCCCGCACCTAAATATCCTCGTCTTTGGGATGTAGATTTAGGGCTGCATTTTTCTTCAAGGCTGACCAGATAATTCAGGCTTCTCACTGAGACAGCTTTCCACAAAATTTACGATGCGGGCGCGTTATTAGCTGATCGCATGCGATGCGCGGACAGGTCACGGGAATCTACTCTCTGTGTGTTTTATTTCAGACAGTCCTCTCGCGCTTATTTCACTTTTCTAAATTCTCAGCGTTAAAACTGCAAATATGAAGCCCCCATTCATGTGATAAAATTGTAGATTATGCTAACATAGTGTACCTATAATCTTAATTTTAGTAATGACAGGAGACGAATACTTCCCACCTGTTAGAGATCTTACCTGAAGTTGGAGTCCGTAGCCCAGATATGATTGCTCTCCCATATAGATAGAAGCCACCTGGACTGTGAATCTGTGCAGGAAAGGTGATTCCAAAGCGGTATCGACAAGGACACAAGCAGGAGGATAGTCAAGGGGTAGCCAAAGTCAAAGGATGCCAGAGGTCAGAATAAATGAAGAGTAGCCAAAGTCAAAGGATGCCAGAGATCAGGATAAATGAAGTGTAGCCAAAGTCAGGGGATGCCAGAGGTAAGGATAAACAAAGCCAGAAGCCTGGGTCAATATGGAGTACAAGTTCAGGAGACTTGAAAACAGGAACTGAACACTTAAACCAGGATCAAAGAACTGACAAAGTTCCCAGGGAAAGGCAGTGCTTTTATACCCAGCTGATGACTGATCAGTCTCAGGTGAAGCACAGCAATAGACGAAGTCCATCCCCCAGTGCTGCAGACAAGCCAGAATAAACAGGACTAGAACAATCCCAGGACTAGGAACTGCAGTGGCTCAAAGGCAGATAGCAGATCCAGAATAGCACAGTACCCAGGTTTAAATCCCCTGTTGGGCACTTATAGCTGTCTGTCTGTATGGCACGGTGAGAACTGTGACACCACCCTGGGATTTTGATATTTCTGTCATTTTTTCTATGATTATATATGGTGTTATTATATGTATTGTTTGTTATTATCGTCTTCTAGTAGCTAGATAGCTTGTTATAGTAATTTCTACCGGCTGGGCATGACTGTTATATTTAATTTACTTCTACTTAAGTAGTAGATAGCCAGTTATGGTATGTTAGACAAAATGTCACTTCAGATACCTTTCACTTCTTTCTGTTTCTTTTTAGTGTAATCAGTGCTTTCTACATCTATTCTGCAATCTATGGCTGCTATGGATGTTTCCATGGCTACAGTTTGGATCATTGTTTTGTTTGATTACGATTGTTTGATGTTGGGACTTTTGGACATTTGAACTTTAACTTTATTAGTTCGCTACAAAGAAAGAGGAAGTAATGTGTGTAACAGGTCCTTTTGTATAACATTGAAGTATTTTTTGATTGGTTGTTCTCTTATGATCTGGGCTGCTGGGAGTTTCAGTAAAGAGAGTTATGCAAATATTTGCCTCCTGTCATTACTAAAATTAAGATTGTAGGTACACTATGTTAGCACAATGTACAATTAACAGAGATAGACACTTCTAAAGTAAACACACTGTGTTGTCAGATCTGATTGAAAATGAAACCATATTTCCATGCAGTCTGTGTCAGTCACAGCCAGCTAGGGCTGTGTGGGCATAAACAAAAGTGATTAGACTTCTAAATGGCAGAGAATTGAGTAGTGAGACTCCATGGGCATGATCTATACGCCAGATCTTGCTTCTGCGGTTATTTTGAAGCTTAAAGTATCCCTTTTATAAATATGTGATATATAAATATAGATGTTACTGTTCTTCCTGTTTCCCCCCTCTATTGGTTACTTTTCCTCAATTTTAACCAAATGGCAGGAAAATATTCCTATCAGTGTCCTTGTGACCTTTTGTTCTAATCTCATTCATTTCCCTAATTAGATTTTCGGTCCAAAATTCTGC